GACAGGGTTCCCCGGAATACTAGTAGAGAGTCATAGATTATGTTGATTGGGTATTAAACGATTCGTTACTTATTTAGGTATTGATAGGGTTGAAAAAATACCGTTACAGAGTAGCCCCCAATTTTATATATGAAATGCTGCATTTGATTAGAAATTACATAAATTGAGGCTCATTAATAATTAAACAACATATCTGTCAAGAAAAACAAGGGAAATTTCTGAAATATATTTTTTAGTTAAGATTTTAAGATGTAGAGAAATAAAATGTAAAAAAACAATTTCATTTTAATTATGTATTATCACATGCTATGAAGCACCGATACTTTATGTAATACCCCATATTTTTATTAACTTTAACCTTATGTCTTTTAGTTAATTTGAGGAGCTCAAACTTTTAAGTTTCGAAGACGAAACTTCTTTTAAGGAGGGTAGAATGTAATATCCCATATTTTCTTTTAATAAAATAACTATAATAATAATATAATTATTTTTTTTTATGGATAATAATGATATTTAGTATTTTTGTAATTAACAATATTGGAATTTAATATTTTTAATTAATGAGTTAATAATAGTTAAAATAATAAGAGGTAAGATAATAATAATAGTAATATTATTTGATTTATGTGATAATATATATTTAATATATATATATATATATATATATATATATATATATATATATAAATTAGATGATAAATCATGATTAATTGATTTATTAATTGATTGATGATTTATGTATTAATGTTTGATTAGTAATGTTTGATTGATAAATTGTTTAGATATGATGAGTCAACAAACATAAATTATTTAGATATGATGAGTCAATCATGAGTCAGCCTTGAGTTAGCAAATAAGTTAATTATATTGTTATCCTATTCGTATGTTATTTCTTTTATATAAAACTTGGATGTAATCCTAATCCCTAGAGAGTCATAGATTATGTTGATATGAATTTTGATATATGTAATCCTAATCCTTAGGTTATAATTTTGTTTGAAGTTTATTAATAGTAATCCTAATCCCTATGTTTTGTTAGGATATTTTATATATATGAAATATATTGTATGTAATCCTAATTCCTAGGGAGTTATAGGTTATATTTATATATAATTTGGTATATGTAATCCTAGTCCCTAGAAATAGGTTAATTATATGAATATTATTGGGTTTAATTTTAATTTTAATTTTGATTAATTATATTGTTGGGAATTATAATCCTCTAGAAAATATCAGAATTAATTGTGTAATTATTTATATTTGAATAATGGATTTGGAAGTTTTGATATTCTTGGATAAATGATTTGAAAATTATAATGGATTTGGAAATTATAATGGATTTGGAAATTGTAATATTATTGAAAGATTGAATTTTGAAATTATACTCTTGATTAAATTGATGTGGAAATCATGAAAACTATTTGACAATTATGAGAATCGTGACAAGATTGAATTGATTGTATGTGATTGAATGAATTAATAGTGGGAGGATAGATTTGGGATGGTACCTCCCAAGGTGATGAACACAACTTTTGGGCTTTATGCCTCCGATGTGAAACTGATGTGAAAAATATTGTATCTGTTCATCCCAAAGTGGTGTCTGGCAGGGTTCCCTGAGATACTAGTAGCAACTTTGGGAAGAGGTGTGCACACTAGGAAGATGTGAATTGATTATGGCCAATGTGATTTGTTTGTGACTGGTAGGGTTTCCCGGGTCACAGGGTAGACTGGCAGGGTTTTCCGGGTCTACCATGGTTCTCTTCCCACTAAATATAATGAACTTAAACATTATTAATAATGAAATTTATTATTTGATTTGATCATGAATAATGTCATTGAGTTGTGAATATTATCATATTATGATTAATGTTGTGCTAAATATGTTAGTTGATAATTACCAAATACATTAAATGAACTTAATAAAGATAAATATTATATAATGGAATTTTGATTATTATATTGATATTTGATTTGATTAATGTGGAATTGCTTTGAACACTATTTGATATTTGATTTAATTTATTATTAATTACATTAATTGTATTTTGATTGGGATTACCAGCTTTGTTGACTTTTGTGTTTGTTTAACTGCAATGATCCTTCACGGGGGAGCAGATTTTCAGTGAAGCATGTTACAAAGGATGGGGCTAACTGTGGGCAGTGAGGATCACGACTCGGATATTTCTAGCTAGTTCCTAAGTTTAGAAATTTTATGAGATCTAAATAAATGCATAAGACATATTTCCTTTATTTAAACTTTAGTCTTTGGTTTTATTTTAATGTAATAAATTTAGCCTTGCACCTGTCCATTGTACAGGTGCAACGGTAACATTCCCCAAATTAGATTTAGATTAGCTTCCGCAATATTTCTATTATTATAATTGTAAAAAAAAAATGAATTTTGACAATTTATTTATTATAAGATTTTTTTTATAAATTGTTAGAAATTTGGGGTGTTACACTTTAAAAATCCGAACGTGTCATGTCCGACACTCCAACACGCGTTATAGAAATTCAAAAAAAAGGTTCAACGTTTGCGTTGCGTTAAGTTTTTAGTTCCAACTATTAGATTCGTTGGATTACGATTATCATATTATTGAGTTTAATATAAATATTAGAGATATCTTATGTTTCTTTGTAAAATTGATGAATATTATAAGTTTAATTTTATTTTTTTGTTAAATTATTGAATATTAAATATAATATACACTATATAAGTTAAAAATATTATTTAATATCAAAACGTGTCCTAACGTGTCGAAATCTAACATTTTTTAGAATTAACGTCGGAGTGTCGTATCGTGTCGTGTCACGTGTCCCGTGTCGGTATCGGTGCTACATAGATCACATCCATATTTGGATGTGTGCACTCTCAAACAAACCTCAAAGAGCAATCTACAAAGAAATGAGGAGAGTAGAAAATTTGTATTCAAACAAGTTATAGGTTCAAGTATTAGCTTTTATTTTGGAGGATGACATTTCTTTATTTAGAAAAAAAAATGAGGAGAGAAAGAGCTTAAAGAGTCCAATGTGAGTCTAGGAATTAAACGAACATCGGAACATATAACATCTAAGTATCTACCAATGAACATATGATCGGTTAATGTTTAATTACACTCTACATATTCTATCATCCAGGAAATATGAATTTCTCATTTCTCATATTGTTTCAATTTTCTCTCTACCTCTTTTGATGTTTCTCAACATGAGTGGTGATTAGAAGGAAATAAAGTGCTTAAACAGTTCCTACAAATTATCATTACTTTAACTTCATTAAATCATACATCTAGCAGTATTTGGCTCAATATACTCAAATTTCTTTAAATCTTGGGATAACAAACTTCATTAGAGTTAGGGGAATAACATAAACATGTCAACTAATTTCAAATCATAATATTTTCAAATTGATGTAGTCATAATAATTATTCTCTGTCTAAGTAATAATGAAAGATGATAATAGATATCAAATTCTCTTCAAGCCAGTGTTATAAAAACCAACCCGAACCATGCGGTTCGATTGGTTAACCTATAAATCGGACCCCCAACCTGTTCGATTTAAATATTAGACCGGTTATATATTTGATTCGGTATGAAATCAATGAATCGGTCATGAACCTGGTTCAACTAGTATTAAACCGGTATCAGTTACTTGAAAAATACCACTAATGAAATTCAAACATAAACCATGTGAATTATAACTTATAGCACTTACCACTAAACCAACTCTAATTATTAGCTAAAATGTTTCTAATTTTATATTTGTATATTTTATTATGGGGACCAATATACTTACAACCAAAAAAATTTGCCACTCTCATAATCAACTTAATCACCGTTGATTTTCGCCAATCTAACAATTATAATTTATTGAGAATTAATACATTTAATATATGACTCGGAAACCAATGGCTACATATAATTTTGGAGTGAAAGGACCGCACTATTGATATCATGCTCTATGATGTTTTTTAATTTGTCTCTATATCCATATGGAGTTACTTCTACTTATATTAAAAAGTGAGATGTACATCACACATGCACATATACATTCTTTTTTATACAAAATGTGTGTCGGACATCGACACACTCAGACACATACCGACCCGTGTTCGATATGCAGTCAACATTTTGGTATACATGATCAATGTTCTGACACGTTCCAACATGCATCCGACATGATGTCAACGTTTTTTGACATGCAGGCAACGTCACTTTTTAATTTATTTTATTTTTTAACTAAACATAAAAACTCTATTTATAAATCAAATATTTTCTATTATAAAATTTGACATAAAAAATTAAACAAAATTATTTTTTCTTTATATTTATGTTATGAAATTTGAATATTTGATTAACTATATGACTTATTGTAGGCTGCTATATGTATTAAATATAAACTATATTATGTGTGTTAAAAATATTATTTAATATCAAAATGTGTCCTAACGTGTCAAAATCTAACATTTTTTAGAATTAACATGTCGGCGTGTCGTCTCGTATCTCGTGTCAGTGTTGGTAGGCGTAAGAACCCTCACAACCATGTTAGGTCAAACAAGGAAATCAAGCAATTGTTCAAGAGATCAAGTTGTGTTCAAGGACATTGTGACAAGTAATCGTCTCGTAATGGTTCATTGATCATCAAATTAAGATGACAAGATATACAACGATACAATTAAATGCAAGCAAGTCAATTAGGACTCAAAGGGAAATATTAGTAAAGTTTAGGGGTCAAAGTTTAATTAAGCGAACATTTAGGGACCAAATTGCAATTAAACAAAACTTGGCCTAAACTGATGTTTTAATTAAATTGTTTAGTGAATTTAGTTGGTTAAAAGTGATCTTAGATTATTTTAATTAGGATTAGAATAATTTAATAAATTAGGTCAAAGTTGGTTTAATTAAAAGTCAATAGAAACCATTTTAAATTAAAGGAAGTCAAACAAGTTAAAAAGTCACGAAACTTAGTGAATTTCCTTCAATCAAGTCGGTTTGAACTTTGAAGTCTCTAAATTCCTCCTCATTGCATCGTTCCTTCTTTCCTTAAAAGAATAGACCAAATGTGTGATTTAATCATAACCAATAGTAACTGGGTTAAAATAAGAAAGTCAATAAAGTAAAAATTCAAGTAACCTAAGCCTTGTTCCATTGTCCAAGTCGGTTCTTCTCTTTAAAAAGAACACAAAAATATAAAACTTTCCTTGTCACCTAGTGAGTATAACCATAGCTTCTAATCATTGTAAGGAGCTTTGGATGTTCATCTTTTCTACTCTTCGTCATGCGACACCATGGCTGACCTCTTGGTGAAATGATGTGTTTTGAAGTTGAAGAATTAGTCTACTAGAAATGTTATAAGGTAATTAAACTACCAATCTTTGATTAATTTCATGGATTTACTATTAGGTCATCTGAATATAGTTGCTGTTTATGGATGAGCTTTAGCATGATTATTTGATGTGGTTTTAGTTTGAATAATGATTGGTTGTTGATTGGAAATTGATCTATGCATTAAATTGATTAAAAACAAGCATGTGGGATTAGTGATTCTTAAAGGAACCAATTGGCCATGTGGTGTTTTATAGGGTGAACCATGTGTTTGATCTAATGTCAAAGTGAAATTAAAGTCATAGTATGATTGGATTTAAGATTCAAGTGGTGAAAAATCAAAGGACGTTGTTTAGTATGCATGAATTTTGTTATGAATCAATTTGGACTATTATTGTATTGTAAAAATTATATCAAAGACTCCAAATGGAGCGTGTTTTGCTTTAAATTAAAGCTTTAAATCAAAGACATCAAAATTTTAGGTTAATCTGAGTTAAAATGAAGTTTTCATAAATAAATTAGTACATGATGTCAATGCTAGAAATAAGTGTGCATTTCGGTCATATAAGAAATAATTGTGCAAATTAAGTGTTTAATTCATTCGCTATTAAAACAATGAACCATAGAATATTTAATAATTATTGGTTAGTATTTGAACCAAAGAAAATGTATAAAATCCAATTATGTAGGTTTTGGTTATATTACGGTTTTGTAGTCAAAGTGGTGAGCAAAGTGTAATGTAGGATTAATTGGTGATCAAGCAATGAATTAATAAAGATGTTTGAACAAGGAAAAAAAGTCAAATTCCTTGTGTCATTACATAGCACAATTCGGCCAAGGCTTGAAGAGATTGCTTGGAAGCTTTGGCAATTTTACATGATGTTTGGAATATTATTTCTAGTGTGTGTTTTATAGGTTTAAGGTGTTAAAACCTTGTTTTACCTAATATTCATGTTGAGATAGTAATATGTAATAAATATTGAAAATATTGGAAAAATGTCTATAACGTGTGAGGTGACATGTATTGGTATTAATTATAATTTGGATGATGGTACAAAATAGGTTGAAGAACAAGTTTGAGAAGCATTGGATTAAATTTGTGAGATTCAAGTAAGCATTGGATTTGAGCTTTTACAGGTAAACTCTCGATTTAGGAGTTTTGCTCCGTCTTTATTGTTCCACCATAGTCTAGTATGGATGATGGTTCGATGTGTGTATCATTGGTTGTGTTAGATATTTGGTATATATGCATTCATATAGACAAGTTATCAATGATGTGATTGAATTGTATATTACAAAATTATCAAGTGAGAAGTACAAATGCTTCCATAATAATACCAAGAGGGAAGTACAAATCAATGTTATTAAAATCAGCTCGGTCAGTGACCCAGTCGAGGTACTAGGTCAGTGGGTCAGTGGTTCAACTAGTGGGTCACTGGTTCAACCGCATGACCCGGTAATTATATGTAATTTTATAATTTATATTAAAAATTATAAACATACTCAAATATCTAAAAAAAAATGATAAAAATTATCCAATAAAGAATCAAACAAAAATATAATGATCGTGATACAGAGCTTTAGGCTCAGAAAATGACATCTCTAACTATAAATCAAATCAAAATTTTCTGCATAGTGCATAATGGAGATAATATTAGTGTTATAGGTACATAACTTATGTAAGTCAATAATTAAAAAATATTAAAATATGTCTATTATGATTTTTTTTTTTGAAAAAAAAAAAATTTAAATTTTTTTTGTTTGGGACAGGGCTGGGTCACCGGTTTTCATAAAACCGGTTGGGTCAGACCGGGTTGCACCGGTTCTGATGCATGACTGGTCCGTTGCTTCAACCAGACCGGTTGTATGACCGGTTTACCGGTTCCCGGGTCGACCCGGCCGAGTCGGTCTGGTTTTGTTAACACTAGTTCAAATGCTTCCGTAATATTATCATGTGGGGAGAACAAATGCTTCTGTAATAATAATATCATGTGGGGAGTACAAATACTTTCGTAAGAATCCAGTTTGTATTACATTGACAAAAATTACATATTGTATTGTATGCTTTATATATAACCTTTCATGTTGAAAGAGAACTCATGGGTGGAGACTGCTCCATAAACCCAGAGTTTATTGAGATTCATTTCTCACCCCGTTGTGGGGCAGTAATTTAAATTACAGTTACATCAATAGCATGAGAGCCCTCACAGGGCAAGGGACCAGTGCACGGAGGATAGAGGATTTAGCAATAGGAGACACTTAGTTATTTTGGATGACTGTATATGCATGTTTTATATTGCATAACCTATATGATCATGCGTTTATACAGTTGATAATCATTTTGAGAGGCATTTATATCCGATGTATAGTTATGTATGTATGACCGGATTATGTATATGTGTGTATGTTGTAATGTCAAGTGTTTAATAATTTTTTACTCAGGTATAAATATTTTTTTTATTTCAAAACCGCATATTTTAATTGGATTGGATTGGTTTTTGTTGGTGAAAATTGATCCAATGTATTATGTATTTTATTATTTTTGAAAGATGTTGACTTAGAATCTTGTTGTTTTGTAGACTTGGAATCTTGGATGTTATTGATAGCAAACGATCTTGCTTTAGTTTTTTATTGTCTATCAATCTATTTTAACTCTTCATGTGTTTTAAGACTTGTTTTAATTCGAAGACTTAGATTTTTCAGTAGTTTGTAACTTTGTATGACTTTATTTTGATATAGTTAGTGATTTGTTTGGTTGAAATTTTAGGCTTTTTGAAAAGGGAAAAATATTTGTCATTTTAAAGGATATAACTTTGTGTCATTTTAGATCTTAACCGTTGATTTTCGTCAATTAACGGTTAGGATTTATTGGTTCAAACTTATTAATTCGTAATAAAATCCAATAAATCCTAACCGTTGATGGACAGAAATCAACGGTCAGGATCTAAAATGACAAAAAATTTATATCCTTTAAAATGACAAACATTTTTAAAACCGAATAAAATTAAATTGGAATGGATTGGATTTAAAAAAAATCAAACCGAAGGGATTGAATCAGATGATTTTTGCTTTAAAATCAATACAATCCCGACCGCGAACACCCTTATTATTGCGCCATTAATATTCTCTTCACTTATTAATATAAGAGTAAATACCATTTTGGGTCCCTAACAAAAAAACACGGTTCCCACTTTAGTCCCTTACAAAAAAAAATTTGTCAGTTGGTCCCTAACACATTCAAAGTGGACCCATTTTTGTCCTTTTGAGGGACTAATATGGGTCTTTTTTGAAATTGTGAGGGACCACGATTTCAACTAAATGGGTCCACTTTGAATTTGTGAGGGACCAACTGACTAATTTCTTTTTATAAGGGACTAAAGTGGGGACTGAGTTTTTTTGTTAGGGAACAAAAAGAGTATTTACTCTTAATATAAAAGGTTTGTTATATTATTAAATTCTTTACTTTTCTAATTTGTAAGATTTTTAACTATTCTATTTTTAATTGGACATTTTTGTCCAAACAAAGATAATGTAGGTGTTATAATTTTTAACATGATTGGTTGATACGACACGAACGAGATATACAAAAAGCTTATATGAAAAAATTTATGCCGTATTGTGTCAATCTGCAAAACATGAAATTGAATCACATTATGGTGTCATATCATGTTAACACAAAATTTGTGAAAAAAACCTTTAGTAACTGAGATTGACATATTATTCATATAATGTTATGTTAGTGAGTTGTGTTCTAACCTCTTTAAATTTGTGTCATATTCATAGTGTATTCATATATGTACTGTGTCATAATGTGTGTTATCAACCCAAATTTTCACCCCTAAATAATGGTATCCATGCAACTTGCAAGTAAACAAAATAAAGACACCCTCTGGTCCCATTTATGAAGAAAGATTTAAAAAAGAAAAGAAAACACACACTACCTCCATTTGGATCTTATTGTATTAATTATTAATACGGTATTGTAACACCCCGTTACCGGACCGGTGTGTTATCATCAAATATGATATCAAACGCAATTACAATCACATTGATTAATTAAAACTACGGAAAAACTTTTTCACAAAACCATTGTTCATTTACTTTTTAAAACAAAATCATACTTAATATAACCAAAATCGTAATAGTAACCATGTAACATTCTCTAAACTGAGACCACTACACTTAACCATCAACTTTAACCTTTTCATTATGATAAACTAGACGCCTAGGGCTTTCCGGAATGATATTACAATAACCATTTGATTAAGTATAGCCGGAGTTATTAAACTCGCAACATAGCTGACAAAATTGAACTTTCGAAATTAGAGCATCAACTTCAATCCTAAACTGACATTGATATAATCATCCAATGGCTCTAATATTTTACAGAGTTATATCTGTATATGTTAACTTCACATAGGCTCAAACCTCACTCAATATGGAGCTTTGTAGCTCGAGTTATGCCAATTTTACTAACCTATGTTCGTTATGAAAATGGGCTGCGCGCTTAAGCGCGATCTTCGAACATTTTTTTCGCACGGTAGCGTGCTTGAGCATGTACAGGCAGAGGAAATTGGTACTTTTAGGCCTCCAAGAGCGCTTAAGCCCCTCTAGAGTGCTTAAGCACGGTCCGACAGACATCAGCCAAGGAAAGGCTAGGATAGACATCAGCTAAGGAAGGGCTGGGAAAAAGACAATGTTGCAACTGGAATACAAGCCGATGGAGCCAGTGTAACTGAAATAATCCGCGGATCAGACAACAACGAAGATAAATGCTACCCCTAAATAGGAGGCCAAAATAAAGCCAAACAATGACAAAAATAAATCAAATACAAGCCAAATCATACTTAAACAACACCACAAACATATATGGGAAAAATAAAATTTGCCAAATACAAGCTATAAAAGAAAATCAAAATAAAAATAATAAATCAACGAAGAAAAAGAAAACATAGCCGGAAGAAACAAGATTCGGCTAGAGATGAAAAGATAATGTGGCCGGAGGAAAGAGATACGGCCAGAACAATGACTTGATTTGGTTGCTGGAGAAAGAGAGAGAGAAAGAGAGAGAGAAAGAGAGAGAGATAACAGATCTAAGCTTCGCAGGAAAACAAGAACAAATCCGATGAACACAAATCGGTGATGGTAGTCAGATTGTGGTTAGCAGAGGGAATTCGACGGTGGACCCCTCACCATGCAAAACTCAGCCGCGGCGGCTCCTTCGGTTGTGGCAACGGTCTACGGCGACGGAGACAAGGTGGACAGAGATGGCTTTCTCAGATTTGTCAGCGCGACGAAGATGGAGGTCCGGCAAACATATCCAGGAAGACAGAGACGAAGCACGAACAGATCTACAGAGGTTCGACTAGAACGGACGTAACCAGGAGGGAGACGGCGTGCGAACATTGGCACAGTGGAAACAGATGGCAAGTACGATGTCGGTGGCGATGGAAGCGGAAAGAGGGCTGGAGGTGACTATAACACTTGCAGCGGCGTAGGTAGGAACGAGAAGAAAAAAACTAAGAGAAGCAGAGAGAAAAAGAGAAAAGGAAAAGTTGGGAAAGTCAATCCCTCATGGTGGGTGATAACTCCCTACTATCATATTAAAATTATGAAAAAGAGTAAGGAAAGACAGACAAGGATTCATCTCGTTAGGCTCTGATACCATGTAAAATAACAAGAGACGAGAGGAATATTGAAATAAATCTGTATATTGAATTGATTCAGGAGAGTACAATATATAAAGAAACACTAATGAGCTTAGCCCATACCTTACCTAAATCCAAATGAAATAAGGAAATAGATCTTTACAAATAATAAAGATATTCTAAAGATATTATTTCCAACAGTTGGCATTTAAAGAGAAATAAAGCATATTGGTTTAGAGCTTTACAGGTGAGCTTTCGAGCCTTGGGATTTATCCCTTTACTATTGCACCAAGTCCCGAGGGGACTGTGGTTTATGTTATATATATAATTGCATGAATTGTGAATTATAGCATTTTATGTATGTTGTTTTGTGTGCCACACAAGACGGTTGATTCCTTGTGTAAAGGCATAAGATGGTTGTTTTCGGTACAGATGATGTTGGAGCATCCATTCGAGGAGGCCATAGTAAAGTGTATATGTATATGACATGTTTTAAATGTATTTTGAGAGATCCTATGTATATGTTAGATGAACAGGTATAGGATTTACATTTGACAGCCATTGATATATTTTGATGTATTTTGGTGGACTTAGCCTATGCTCACTTTCTTTGGTATCTCATGTTGTTGGAGGGAGCCAAGGATTTGATCATAGTGTTTTGTAGCTAAGTTCCGTGATTATGTATTAAAGACATTTGGACATTGTGTAATGTTATACCTTTTTCCTATATGATGGAAAGGCATGAATGCCTATTTGCATGTTTGGTGATTATTACATTTGTGACTTAATGATAATGTGCCTGAAATATGTAATAATGAGATAGTGTCTTGTGGTTAAGTTAAAAAGCGATGCATAATTGGCAATTGAAGGAAAAAGGTGAAAGAGTCATAAGTTGATGTAATTGTTGTGGATATAAGAGCACCCTAGTTTGTTGGGCTAGTGGTTGCCATTTCATGCGTCAATTAGGTACATGATTGGAGGATTGCCATATGTTGAAAATACAAACAAAGTGTTGTCCAAATTTTTGAAAAATCTAGGAGTTACCTCTGTCTTTAAAAATTCATATCTCACTCAATTCATTTTTGTTCAAGGTGTGTGAGGTATCAAAATAAAGCTTAGGAAGTCTACTACATTGTCCTAAAATATAGGATACTGGTTCATTGTAAATTGTCCTCAGCATTCGAATATGTAGAGACTATTCAAAATGAAGTTTTTGACAGCTTCTGGCCCTGAACTTTAAAATTTAATATCTCCTACGTTTCTTATCGAAAAATGTAATCAATGTCAATTAAAGCTTGAGATTTCTCGTTTCTTGTGTAAAAATTTGAGAATAAACTGGGCGGTGGAACACACCCAAATTCAGCCTCTGTTTTCGTATATGTTTTCTTGTTGACAATTTTGAGATGCTAACTTACGGTGAACATATCTTGAGTTATATAACTCCAAATTAGGCCTATGATACCTTGTTGGAAAGCTTGATGAGTCTATTTAACATACTAAAATATGATAATTTATAGACAAGTAAATCAAACCCAGTTTAGGAAAAACCGAAACCGGTTCAGTGTTGGAAATTGTAGAATTATGAATTTGGCTTCGTTGGTTTGTGGGAACCATTTAGCAACAATAAATAAGTATTGTATGATATGTAAGCATTAGATTTTATTATTCCACAACTGAGTAAGAGTTATGATTACAGTTTTGAACTTTGTTAAATGCTAATTGTTTAAAATGAAAATGTTATTAAAAAGGAAAGAGTTTTATCATATTTTAATTCAACTACTGAGATTGTAACTGCTTTTAATATCATATATAATGATAACATGAACGGATACATACGAGGTGTTACATTATACATTCGAAAAACCCTATATATATATATATATATATATATATATATATTTGTTGTGTAAATATTTCTACAGTCACTTTAGATAAGGTTATCTACAGCTACCCTTTATAATTATGTACTACCAGTAGTACATAGTTATAACATTAATGTTTTTTCTCTCTCTTCTGTCACTTTTCAGAACCTGTCTACTGACGTAGAGAGAGAGAAACAAAATAAATTTAATGTTATAACTATGTTTTACCGGTAGTAAGGGTAGCTTTAGATAACCTTATCTAAAGTGGTTGTATATATATATATATATATATATAGGTTTGATTTTTCTGCAACCATTTTACGACCAGCACTAATAAATTCTTCAAATATATAGACTAAAGTATTTAATATAGGAAATCATAACCATACAAAAAGTAAAAACATTAAATGTGAGAAATCATAACATTGCTGCACGTACAACTTTAAATAGTATTTTACCAAGGTATATATATATATATATAGATATATATATAGGGCAAGATCTTCTTACATCGATGAATGTAAGAATAATAATTCTTACACTCAATCTTAACCGTTAATTTTTGATATCTGACGGTTATAATTTATTTGAAATTAATAATTAATTAATGAGAATAATCAAATTAATTACAATCGTTTGATGGACGGAAATCAATGGTTAAGATTGAGTATAAGATTTATTTTTCTTATACCGATGTAAATATATATATAAATATGTGTGTGTGTGTGTGTGTGTGTGGGCGCGCATTGTGCTATACTCTTTTGTATGGTTAATGTTGAACGAGTAGCTTTGCTCAAAATGTAAATCACACAAAATAATAAAAACAAATACAAGGGATAGTGTTTGTTGTTATGAAAAGATATAAAATTATGTCATTTTGTCAAAATTACTATTTTATGGTAACAAAAATAAATATTATGATTGGAGAAAGTGAAATTTTTTAAATGAAATATAAAATAATTTGAACTAAGATTAATGTTTTTTAAAATGAAAAATATTTTTTCCATTAAAAACAGAGGAATATTATTCTAATGTTAGATGAGATAAAAAAAATTCATACACTCACAAATCAAAGATGAGATCCACTCTATATTTTTCTTCTCCTCTCTCCTCTAAGTTATGAGTGCATTAGAGATTTTTCTCTCATGTAATATGAGAGTAATATTTCTCTTAAAAATACAATTGAAAAAAAAAAAAAAATCAGTACCATTCATGGATTAATAGAATCGAGATACAAGAGCAATCTTTAGAACTTGATTAAAGCGAAATCATTAATTACATATATTCCAATAAAATACACAAGTTGGGTACACAACTGGATTATGCTAACCCAATTGATGTCTGAGATACAGGCGTAGCTATATATAGAGAGACTATAGAAATGGAAAGGTAAACTTTTTAAGCATGGTAAGTTTAATAGAATGCGGTGGAAGATCTTATCATATTATGGAATTGAAATTGGCTTGTGCATTGGCGGTGGTGGTGAATGTTTTGGAAATTTTGATTTCTTCACTTTAGGAAAAGGCTTTTTAGGTAAAGGCTTTTTACGAAAAGGCGGTAGCCATTTAGGTAAAGGCTTTTTAGTAAAAGGCGGTAGCTTAAAAATTAACTCCGGCTCAACATCAGGAATTGGCTTTTTCACTACAAATGGTTTTGGAATGTGCTTAACAATGGGACTTGGCTTTGGAATAGGCTTAGGGAAAGGCTTAACAATTGGAATTGGTTTTGGGAAAAAAAATCCTTTGAATTTTTCTTCTTCATTATGTCCTCCTAGGCTTGTCTTTGTCAGTTGCTCATTTACAAGCTTCCCATCAGTGTTCACTTCATTCCCTGTGTAAGAAATGCAAAAGTACATCACTTAAATACATAATATATAGTTCTATGATAGTAAATTTGAATTCTTTCATGTAGATTGATATAGAGTGAATATATAAATAAAAAAAAAATTGTGCCAATCAAAATAGCAATATAATTATACCACTTTGGTGACCATACTACTAGATGTCAAGAAGCATAATAGATCACAATTTAATTACATGCATGTTGATGCTAAAATAAATCATTGATTTGAATTAATTTGGATGACAATAATAACAGTCAAAGTCTAACTAGCAAGTAACCATAATTTTCACTGACTGAATTTAGTGTATGAAGGGCTGTGGCTAAGTGCTAAGGTCTTTATTTCCTCAAAACTAAAGTCTTACGAAATATACAGCATTAATAGTTTTCCATTCTTCATTCAGTGTCAGCATGAGCCACAAACCTGAAACTTCAGTTGTTGCTATAGCAGAAGGAGCATAACAGAAGATGGCAATAAGCAACAAGGGAACAACGAAGCGCACAAGTGCGCATTTCAGAGTGGAAGACTTTCTCATTGAGAAAACAAATAGGCCAAATCTAAAAAAGGGAAATGCTTGAAGGATGAGTTACTCTTTGTCCCATACATGCATTATTTATTTTAGCTTTCTTGGGATTAACTATGCATTAAGTGCTCTATTTTTTTAATACAAGTGCTCTATCTGCTATTACGCTTGTGAATATAGTCCTAGCTAGATTTTAGATTTAGTTAGGGACCATCATGGGTAGTTGGGAGTGTTTATTGTTAGAATTCAAACTCAACTTTGATACAAACACTTCACCGTAAAACTATAGGAAAACCGACAAAAATGTAACTATTCATCAAGTTTTTTACCTAAATGTCATGTGAATAGTGTTATTTTTCAATCTGCCACTTGGGCTAGTTCGCTACCCGGTGTAGCGAACTCGGTTTGCTGACGTATCACATTTCTAGTGAATAACAAGTATCAAGTTAAAAAAAAGAGTATGAAGTTCGCTACATTGGATAGCGAACTTGGTTAAAACGAAGTTCGCTCTCCCATGTAGCGAACTTAGTGTCTACTAGAAACGTGACACGTCAGCAAACTGAGTTCGCTACATCGGGTAGCGAACTTGCCACCGTGGCAGATTGAAAAATAATACTGTTCGCGTGACATTTAAGTAAAAAACTTGATAAACAGTGACATTTTGGTCACTGTTCCAAAACTATAACTAAAGTGAGTTGTCAGTTGTGCAAATCCAAGTTGCCTAGTTGTCAGTAGATTGGACGAAGCAATAAGACAAAGGCGGCTCATAACTTAAGAAGCACAGCAGCACTAGTTGTAAGGAAGAGAACAGAATACCGCAGCACTAGTTGTAAGGAAGAGAACAGATAAGTGCCGAAACACGTGCGAGGGAAAGAAAAATGGAGAGAGAGATTTGTAAGAAAGTTTTGTAATATAATGCAAGTTGTGTTATGTTGTGTTGCTTTTAGTTTTAGGGGTTTGCATTTATCATTTAACATGACACAACTTCCTACACACACAATATTTTGTGGGACCCACACTTTTTGAAACTAAAAAAAAAAACTACGGCACGCAAAACGAATATTTATAACATTACACAACCACTTTTCCTACAACATAACTCTTATAAAACCCTTAGTTTTAACATATTTAAATTATGTTTTATTAATCTATGTTAAAGGAGAAAACTTATCTCATGTTATAGAGACAAATTTGTGAGCTCCACCACCTGAAAAAAAAAGGTGGCACGATTATCGAAGGATGTGTAGGAGAAAAAACTTAACTCATGTAGCATGAGAATAGTTTTTCCCATTTAAATTTCCAACGTTTATAAGATCAATGGTAGTGGTGTTCATCAACCGATTCAAATCACAGTGACCGAACTGAAAAATCAATAACCGGATTAACTGAAATTTATATGCT